TTCGTTAGACTATCTAGCCAATCAGAATCCATTTACGTCTGCCACTCACCCTCCATCACTGGAATTACAGATATATGTCATCTGACTCATGTCTTATATGGATGCTGGTCTCCAAACTCAAGCCCTCATGCTTGACACACACCTACTAGCAGAGACACTCTGCCAGCCCAGGAAGAATGTGATGAACTAAATAAATGAACATTGAAATTTATGTAACTTAGTCACCAAATCAAGTTGATGCTCATAGTGAGGAAAGAAGGTAGGGGTGGAAATTCAAGAACGGCTCTCAAGAGCTTGTAGTTCTTGTCAGTGAATAAGTGGAGCTACCATTCAACGAGAAGAGATATGAAAGAACTGCCTGGAGAGGGAGTACTCCATGTGAATATTAATAGTTATGCAACACCAAGCAGGGGCCAGGGCTTTGTAAATATGGCTATAGATAACCAAAGAACAAACCAGGGACCTAAAGGACGACTGGATACTTCATTTGAGTCCTCCCCCCCATTGGTCTTTTAAAAAGTCTTTAAAACATTTCCCAGGGCAAATAATCCATGAGAATCATGATACATAATTTATTTTCTTATGTACGAAGGCTATATGGCTGCAGTCAGTAGCCATCAAGAAATTGTGCAAAGAAAGTGCATAATGTGAAAGATATCTGAAATATTAAACTCCAATATCTATCTATCTATCTATCTATCTATCTATCTATCTATCTATCTATCCATCAATCCATCCATCCACCTACCCACCCAGTCATCTATCTATCTATCTATCTATCTATCTATCTACCTATCTATCTATCTATCTATCCATCCATCTGTATGTGCACATGTGCCTAATTGCCTGTGTATACACCACATGGTACAGTGCCTATGGAGTTTAGAAGAGGGTGTCAGAGCCTCTGACACTGGAGTTACAGGGACTTGGGAGTCACCATATGGGTGCTGAGAACGAAACCCTTTTGTCTCTGTGGGATCAGCAAGTGCTCTTAACCACTGAGCCATCTCTCCAGCCAGTCATCCCATTTTTAAATGTTGGGAGGACAGGGAGTATAATGCTTCCAGAAGCAACTGAGAAGCAGCCCTCAGAGGGGCTGAACACAAACCAGATGGGTTTTAACATCAGAGAAACCAAAATAAATAAGTGAATCAATGTCACGTTCACACTACGGGACATGATCAAAGATAAATTACACTATAAACAGTGAAGAATGAGTTGTATGAGTGTGTGCACGTGTGTTCCTATATGGACATATGTGTATGGGGAAACAAGAGGACCACTCCAGATATCACTCCTTCTCAGGTAATACCCATTCTGTGTTTTGGTACAGAATTTCTCTAGGACTAGGACATGGAGTATTTGCTGTTAGGCTAATTCACCAAAAGTATGGCAAGTGCTACCATACCTGAACTTCTTACCTGAGCACCAGGGATTGAACTCAGGTCCTTGTGTTTGCTTGGCAAGCATTTTACTTAGTTTTCTCCCCTACCCTTAAATAATTGTTTAAACGATATAGAAACTATTTCTCTGTGTCAGCTAGAAACTCATTGCCAGTTTTATTGAGATGAGCTTTTCATAGTATCAGACTAAAGTGGATGTTCAATAGATACTCAATAACCACTTTCTGGACCAGTGACAGAATTTTCACTGAAGATTGAACAAAATAAATTTGATTGTTTTCTATGAACTCTGAGTATAAAAGCCTTCATTTATTCTGCGATCCACATACACCTGCAAAATCAAGGCTGCAGTTTTTTGCCTTATGTAAATCAAAATCATTAAAGCCTAAAAATGTGCTAACTCTAACAAAGTTTGGTTTAATGATTTTTTTTTCTGTCTAGTTACTTTGCATGGACTCAGTAAATGATGCAAAGATTATAACCAGAGAAGAAAGGAAGGCTATTTGGAGGGGTATACAAGGAACTATATATTGAACGCCTTAGTGTAAGTCATACATATAGAACATAGTCAGTCAGCCCAGGAGTTCTGTCTTTCTGGTTGAGGAACTTAGCAGAGAGCCAGAGCCTTGTGCATGCTTTGCAAATACTCTACCCGTGAGCTACATCCCAGACCCGATCTTAGCACACATCCCAGATCAAAACATTTTCAGTTCAAAGGCAAGCTGAATGGTTCTTGCAAGGCATGCCTACACAGAATTATTTGGGAATTAATCTCAAAGAATTAATTTTTCTCTGTCAAAAATATGTTCAAAGAAACACTGGTGTGAAAGGCAATAGAGTTGAATTATTGCCACGATAGTGTTCTATTTCCTTGAAATCCTGCTATTCTGGAGAGATTGTCAAAATTATCCTCTTAGGCATTCCATCTTGTGATAAATAGCACATACCCCCAACCTCGGTCATACATACATAACTACCGCTGCAAGGGGAGGGATAAAATGAAGACTGTGGCCGAGGGAATTGGAGGTGGCTGCTTCTCCTTATGTCAGCAAGCCTTACAGGTATGCCTCTGCCGTCTGTTTTGGTCTATTGCCTGCTACAGTAATGTGAACAGAAATGTAATTATATTCTGTGAATAATTGATATAAACACACAAAGGGCGAGCCACAATCAAGTCTCTTTTTTTTCCTCCCAATCTCTCCTTTCAAGTCTCTCTCCTACAGTAGCCTCGTGTTGGTTCTCAGCTGAGTAGCACTTGTATCAATTAAACAGTAACTAATTCAAGTACATTTGCAATCTGTGTTTGAAATGCCAGCCCATACAGTAGTTACCAATTAAGCACGAGGCAGATTAATGGACGTATTGTTCTCCTGGGCGAACTCCAGCACATTACCGTTAAGCGTGTAAGCCCCAGTGAGTGAAAGGCTTCCATTTAAAGGGAAAGGAAAACACACGCTTACCAAGAGAAAAGGAAAAAAGAAAGTTGAGTGTTTTATAGCATAAAGAATTACTTAACAGGATGGTGCCTGGTAGCCTTTGGAAAGGAGAGGAAATTATGGCTGTTTGGCGTTTTTTCTCCATCCCTTTACTTTGTGCAAATTTGATCAATGGAGAAATACAGAGGTGCAGGATGGGGAGAGAATAATAGGAACAGACCAGCTAGACGAATGACTCTTGTAAGTTCACAGCTCCTAAAACAGATGCTCTTACTAGCTGGCTACAGTGTATCATTAGATCCAGAAATCCCAGCAATCAAACACAAAGGTGCACCACAGAGAGTGGAAATGGTGTGTTTACCCTAAAGAAACTGTAACATTAGCTTGCTGCTGTCAGTGTGAGGCACCATTCCAGCAAGACCAAGTATACAATGAAGTCAGAGAATTGTTCCTGGGACAAGACGCTCTGTGGAATCCAGCTTACGGGAATAGAGGTTTATTTTGGCTAAATGGTTCAAAGCTTTTAGTCACTGGTTAAATGGCTCCATTGCTTTTAAGCTTATGCTGACAGATGTAGAGACAGTGGGAACATAGAACAGTAACCTGCTAACCTTGCAGCAGACAGGAAGCTGACAGAGAGGAAGCAGCCAGGCTCTCCACACGTCCTTCAAAGGTGCATATTCCTGACCCACATCCTCCAACTAGACCCCACACCCTAAAGCTTCCATTGTCCCAACAGCACCGCAGGCTGGCTACCAAGCTTTCAGCACAAGGCCTTCTGGGAGCCTTTCTCTTTAAGCGGTAACAGTCCATTTTGAATTACAAGCTTATACTTTTCAACACCAAGTGTAATCGTTGCAAATAAAACTGTTTCCATCAGTCACTGAACATTTAATGATTGTTGTAGCACGTATCAGAACAAGTGGAAAGAGGTTGAGAATCGAACAGAAGCAATTCATTTTAGTTCTGTACCTTGCACAGATTCCTGCGGACACTTCTGCTCCCAGATGACCCTGTGCTCTCCTTCCTCGCAGCCCACCCCACCATCTTATGCTATCTCACCCGACCTACAGTAAATCCAACGCCTATAAAGACATTTAACGTTTTCTAAGTAAGCAACAACAACAACAACAAAACCAGTTTATTTTATGAGTTATTTTTTTCCAGTGCACATCATGTGGTTAAACACATGGTATCCAAGATCCCACAGTGTCTAAAATCTATATGACTCGCACAGTTAATTGTATGAGTTTAATATATAACACTTAAATATGACCTACAGGGCTAGCTGTTTTCTAAATGCATCCGCAGGCCAAGTTCTCATTTATTTCCATTTTCTCCCTACATCCATCCCCAGACATGGTGCTGCCAGCTGGAGTCGGAGTCTGCACCACACTATCTGCATATCTCACAAGGATGCTAATGGTAGTTCATGAATATGCTTGCCACCTTCCTTTGGGTAGATCTTCTCTTTTACCCTTTATTAGACAATGTCTGTGTGCCTGGTCTTTGTCCAGAGCCCTGGGGGACTCTGCTCACTCCCCTGGTAGGACCAGGGGATATGGATGGAAAGAGAATCCAGCACATCCTCGAGGGAGTTAAGTGTGTGTCTCATCTTCTTCAGCACAGCTCTGATTCCACAAAGGGCATGTCTGTCTGTCTCGTTTATGTGTGTGTGTCCACCTGTCTATCTTTATTGTGGAGTTCAAGGCTTGCTTCTGGTAATACGTCCCTTTGATGGTAAATCACTGGCGATCCTTCCCTCTTTGACAGTCGTTTCTGTTCTCTGTGCATTTAAAAAACTGTTAGCGTGTCAAGATGTTCAGTCTATGGTGTTTCTACCAAGTCGGGCACTAGAATAGCCTCTGTATTAGCCTCTGTCTTCTTTCTAGTTCTCATCTCTCTACCTTCCTCCCGTCCTCCCGTTCATTGGCCCATTGCTAGAGGAAAAGAAATGTCGAAATCAATGAGAATACATTGCCACACAGTCTTTATTGTGGAGGCAAGGTTTCTACGGAAAATCCTTGTAATCAGAGGAGAGGGAAGATGAGATTAAACTGATTAAACTGAGAAAGTCAAAAAAGGACAACTTGAAAGATTAGTCAGCCGACGCCAGCAAAGCGCAGCTCCTTTTGCATGCTAAGTGGAACCGTCCGCTCTGCTATCAGCCCCTTCATCGGGTGACCTTCTGCTGCGTTAGCACAGAACTACCTGATCCAAGGCAATCCTGGAGATTGAAAAGCCAGAATGCTGGTGATTACAGGAGGTATCAATATTATTGTAATGGTGCTTCGTTATCATTAGGGAACTTAATTACTTAGGGAAAATGAGAAGGCCCGAAGAGTAACAGCGAGATCAACAGCTGGATCCGGGCAGATATTTTGGGCATGGCTTCACATCTAGGGTCAAAGGGGATCAGAGAGTGGGAGGAGGAGGAAGTCCAGTGAGAGACTGAAGTGGGTGTCATAGGGTAGGTCTGCACAGCAAATGGCGGACAGAGTACAAAGAATGGCTGTTTTCTTATGAAATGCTCTCTGCGTTATCTGATGTGTAAGATCTCTGTAAATGCTGACGACGTGAAAGGAAGAAGATGGATAGACAAAAATGATAAGACAGATGTATGCTATGACAGTGTGCTAAAATAAATAAATGTTCTTTAAAATATTAATTAAAAATACATTAAAATTTGGATACTGATGTTACTCCCCCACCGTGTGTGTGTGTGTGTGTGTGTGTGTGTGTGTGTGTTATGAGTATGTTTGTATGTTTGTGTGTGTGGTTTGATGTGTGTGTGTGTGGTTTGTGATAGAACTGGGACGTTCATGCCAGGCAAGCTCTCTACCATTGAGGTACACCTCCAGTCGGCAGCAATTTTTTAATGGAAATTTAACCTTGTATTCAATCCCCTTATGTGCCTTCCAAACCCATTCTCTCTCCCTTTCTCTTAACTTCTCTCTTTTTTTCTATAGAGATTTGCAGTTCTTGGCCTGGCTGGTGTGACGCTGTAATTCTGAAATGCAGAGTTCAAACAGGGCGCATGTTTTCTTTTAACTCTGACCCCTAAATAGAAACAGAACATTTCAGAACACTCTAGGGCTGTGGCTGTGTTGAGACAAACCAGAATTAGCCCCACTTACTGACCTACAAATAGACCTGACCCAGCCCGACCTGCCTCTGTCCCAAGTGCTGGGCCAAATCCATACTTCTAAATTTAATGAATCAAATTTCTTTGCTTTTTTGGAGTAGGCACAAAAGCCAAAGGAAACTTCCAACTGCATTTGAATGAGCTTGTCCACTCAGTCACCATCAGCAATCTTTCCCAGCTGAGCATACCATGATACCAGTTGTTTCTTTAGCCCATTTGAAGAGAAGTGGGGGGACAAAAAAAAGAATTCAAAAAATCTGCAACAGAAAAAAATGTGTTTGGAAGACAGAATGCTAAAAAAGTTCAGGTCAGAATGGAGTGTGGAGAAGGTTCTATAAACATTTGCAGATGGATTTAGTAGCCAGTCTGGTTTGCAGCAAGCAAGGTTATTCTTAGCCCTTGGCTCTTTTGTTTACTGTTTGAAGCTTAGGTATCTTGGCATATGGAAGTATACAGCTATAAAGGCCCAGCACAGTTAGCTGTCTTGATGCTCTCCTGAAAAAAGAAAGAAAGAAAGAGAAAGAGAGAGAGAGAAAGAGAGAGAGAGAGAGAGAGAGAGAGAGAGAGAGAGAGAGAGGAATGGAGGAAGGAAAGGAGAGAGAGGGGGAGGGAGGAAAGGAGAAGTGAAGGTAGAAGAGAACAGAAGAGAGGAGAAGAGAAAGCAGCCACACAAATTTTATTTAAAATCTTATGTCTGGCACACACCTATGATCTCAGTTCTTGGGAGGCTGAGGTAGGCATCTGAGGGCATCTTAGGGTACATAGCAAAATCCTGGATCAAAACATAAATAAATATTCTCAGACTGGGGGTCAGGAAGCAGAGTGTGGTTTTTTTTTTCCTGCTGGCCACAGAGATTACTTTGAGAATTCACAGTTGCAATCTGATAGCTGACATTCTAAGGGTATATAATTCTCTGCCAGGTCCCTGTCCAGGCAAGGCACACTCCTGCATCTCCAGGCCTGATAGTTGAGGCTGACTTTATCCTGGACCTCAGAGACATCAGAAAGATCTAGCTTAGGCCTTAGTTATGAAAATTTCAGTACTCATTTCTTGTTCTGGAATTAAAATATTGCATGTTAACTGAACATTTAAGTACAATGGTGACATTTATCAGTGGGAAATATGTTACAAGACCCCAGTGGATATCTAGTACCAAACCCCAGTTACAGTTTTGTTTCTTCTATACATATATACCTATGAGAAATTTTAGTTTATTAATTTACCATAAGAAAATGACCATTATAATAATACACCTGAATAGTTATCTATGACTAATTACTTTTTATTTCTAGAATTTCTCATGTGTTTTCTGACCACAGTTGACATGGACTGAAGAAAACTACAGGGAGCAAAACTTCAGGTAAGAGAAAGCTCTTGGGAAAGGGTCATCTTTGACCCTTTGACACAGAGTTGGCTATCTTTGGGTTTTTCTCTTTGGTGCTTAGCCTGGATGTTACCATTTTAACCAAATCAGCTGTGACTTCCCCTGTGAGGACTCAGGAAGATGGGCTTCTTAATGTTCTCTCAGAGATGGAGTAAGGGGAGGGTTATTAGATCATCACATGAGATTGCAGGTTCCTTTCCTTCCCTATAGCTTTGCTTTCTCCCGGGTATATATAGTTCTTCCTCAGCTGGGTGGTCTCAAGAGGCAGTGCAGAGCATGTGGGGTGAGAGATCAACTGAAGGGACTCCATCCATGTGGCCTTCAGGATGTGATCATCCATGCCCAGGTTGAGTCTTTTAGAGACAGAGCTGTTTCAGTAACATTCACTTGACCCATTCTCTTATAAGTAAGCTTAATAAACCCCCTGCGTCCCCAGGTTGTCCTTGAGAAAAACTCCTCCTTCGGTTTGGTTTGGTGTCCTATCTTGGATGAGTAGATGTTTATTACCACTTCCACAGGAAAACACAGCATTAACTAATTGGTTGAAGTCCAGTTTCATCCCAGACACCAATACTTCAGGTCCTCCACGTGTTTTTCACCCTGGTTTCGGTAATTACTCTGTTCCCAATTTTCTGACTTATTTGACTCTGAAGATATCCAAGATTGAATGTTGTCCACTATAATGAATCCTAGGGTGGATTGGCCCATTGGCCCATTCTTCCTGATCTGTCTATTGGGTTAACCGGCTTTTGGGCCTCTGGTTTTGATGGTGCAATGTTTAGAGAACACTTTTCCTCACATTTTTCCACTCCTAAGCCATTGTTTTCTCTCAACTCAGAACACTTGGGTCCAGTTTTAATATACTCTGACCCCATCCAAGGTATTACCTGGTTTTAAGTGGAGCCTAGCCATCCTTTGTCCTTTCTTCTTAAGTGAAAACCTCCAAGTCGCTAGTCACCTTTTATTGAGTTTTGAAGCTTCAAAAAACCTGAAGACATTGATAATGGGATCCAGTGCTTTGGGCCTGAAGCAAGCCAGCCTGTAGAGGCAGGAGTGCACAGCTGATATAAACCACTCACCTCATGTTTACGGAAGCCAAAAGAAGAAGGGAGAAAGATCAAGAAGCTCATTTTCCCTTTGGAGAGGCACATACCCACCGGCTGACAAGCTGGGGCTCTCACAAGGCCCCACCTTCCAACTGTGCGAGCCTGAGGCTCAAGCCTTTAATGTATGGGCTTCCGGGTCCAGGTATCCATTCTGCATCAGGGAAGTTCAGCAGCAGAAAGCATGAGAGCCGATGGTCGGCCCTTTAGATGACATGACATCAAACTTAAAGTTTCAAATTACGCTGGCTTTTAGATTTGATCATTAATATCTTCATTTCTATCGTGAGCACTAGAGATTAGCATGATGTTATGAGATACACATAACTTAGGAGACGATGATCTGCAGTGATAGAGAACAGTACGATGCTTTAATATATGTACCCCATGCGGAGAGAATAAGCCAGCAACTGATGTGTTTATCACTCACTTGTCTCAAAGACGTTTAGAATGGCTGCCGAAGTCATAAAGGCCTGTGCAGCTGTGTTTACTAGCAGAAAAAGCTGAAATTTGGGGAAGGCCACAGTTTGCATGAAACAGCAAAACATAGGGAAAGCCACAGGTGCCGAAGAAAGCCTGGGCGTTTCAACCTGTTCAACGCTTCTCTATGCAGCAAAGGCTGCACTGAAAATGCCGTTTTCCTTCTCCTCACTAGCCTTGATGAGTTTGGCACCAACACAATCACAAACATCTTCCCTGGAAAAAAAAATCTGTGAATGGCTGGAGTCATTAGTGTCATTCAGTTTATCATTAAGAACAGAGGCATCCAGATTAGTCCTGTACCGAGAGAGCATCTTAATTCACTAAATCTTTCCAATCCATGAGATTGTCTTCATGAATAACATATGAAACAATTTTGATGAGTGATTTTAGTATTTTATCTTTGTCTTCTAATCAGGAAATTTCCTACAGGCTCACAAACTCTGTAGGACTTTTCTGGCTTTAGATTCATGTTAGTTGTAGTACCCCAATCTGAGAATGGAAATCACACTTTATGACCTGTGAAGACCATATCCAGATTCCGGAACTTCTCGCAGATATCACAGAAAGCCCAAATGTTGTTTTATTATGTTTGTTAACAGAAATATCTGTGTCTAGGCATGAGATCTTCTCATTCTGAAATGCTAATTCACATCTTAAAAAGTTTGGGTGGACACCAGAGCTTGGGACCTAGCTCCAAAGGAGGAGACACAGCTTCTATCCTTCTAAGCATTTGAAGTTAAGTAGTAAGTGTTTGGCAAGACTGTAACACATGACCGCCATGCAAAAGTTAATAGTAATAGCCCATACAATGACATACACACATAAGAATTTAATCCTACATAATGTGCTCGTGGTATTTTTGAAGTGAAGGATAGAGTTCAAAAGAAAGATTGTAAAAATACCCTAAAAAGTAAAGCAATATGCTATGTTTAGTCATGGCTGGTGTTCATATCTTAAATACATCAGTTTCTTCCATAATTGGTTAAAATTTCTTGAAAAGCTATCAGAAGGATTGTCAAGAGATTTGAAAATGTTAATGTAAAGTTTATCTGCATAATCGAAGGCCAGCATTCTTCTACGGGGATGAAGAGGACAAGACAGAAGAGCTGGCTCTGCAGATATCAGAATGTATTGTAACAGTGGGGTACATGTGTTGCTGACACAGGAAAGACAAAAATATAAGCCAAGAGCAATGGTACATCCCTGTAATTCTAGCACTTGGCAGGAGGTGGGAGGATCAGCATTCCAAGGTCATCCTATACCTGCCTCGAAGAAGGAAAAGAGGAGAAAAGGAAGGAGGGGAAGTTAAAAAAAAACATAATCTCTAATGGAACAAAGAAATAGCTGTATAGAGACATGGATACATATGCACAGACCAGAGATCTGTGATCAGAGTGTAAAGCAGGAGCACTAAAGGAAGGTGGCCTAGGCTAGGTGGTGGTTGTGCATAAACAAAATTAACAGTTTGTATCACTTCTTACCCAGAAACTAAAGTCAATTTCACGTTGCTTTAAGACTTGAGTTTGAAAAGGGAATTCTGAAAAGATTTCAAAGGAAATATAGGTCAATTATCGTTTTTACTCTAGGATGTGGAAGCCATAAGCCAAAAGCAGAGAGATACAAATTGGACAATTTGACAGCATTCAAAAAAACCAAGGGTTTTTATATATCCAAAGGTTGAAAAACAGAAAGAAATCATTATGTCAACGCAATGCAGAGAAGCAGGACAAAAGATGCAGAGAAGCAGGACAAAAGATGCAGAGAAGCAGGACCAGTGATGGAGAGAAGCAGGACCAGTGATGCAGAGAAGCAGGACCAGTGATGGAGAGAAGCAGGACCAGTGATGGAGA